TTCAATAACACATTGAGGCTGACATGCCGTAAAACAAACCAAACCAAAAATACATACTCCATTCAAAAAAAAAAAAAAACGCCTACATATTCCATTCATGCCTTTAACTGGGTATTGAACCCAAAACTCACTTCAAACATGGCCTGACACTAGATCTAACTAACGCCTTTATCCACTGTACTACGTGACAGGACCCGGAGATTGCCTGTTCAATAACCTTTTTAAAATATGGTGGAGAACAGAATAGTCCGAATAATGTAAATTGTGTACATAATACCTCATCTCAGAAATATAGACAGATACTGAAAGGCCGAAACGTTGTAATAAATATGGCGACAAAAATGAGGACAATAGTCCGAATAATGTAAATAATGTACATAATACCTCATCTCAGAAATATAGACCGATACCAAAGTGACAATTGTTGCTGCAAAACAAAGAAATCTATTGTCTTAATTGTATGTCTGCGAAACTTAGACAGCAGGATTACAGCGAAGATCCCAATCATTACATATGAAATTATACAGAACTATTCTAGTCATTAGATACCATCACAAATAACGTAGTGCGAAACACCATCAAACAAGAAACGGGTTCGGTGAAAAACCTCCAATAAATTAAGAAGAGCTAGTTGAAATTGTATAGACACGTCATATGATGCCACGATTCCTTTCTATTGAAACCAGCTTTCTCATTTTAGTTGCTATCATCACAAAGTTTCGACGGTTGATTTTCCAGAGGCCTGTTTTTGTACACTGTAATATTCTTGGAATATTCGAAATGAGGAATTATCAGCATTCAATGCCAAGATAATCGGACTAGATTCCTCATCTTGGGTGTTATCAAAACGTTTCGGCCGTTGCCTTCTGCAGGCTTCTCCAGCTCCCTGCCTTCGTACTTTGTAATATTCTTGTAATATTCAAAACGAGGAATTATCATTATTCTATGTTCAGCTAATTGGACCCGATTTCTAATCTTGCTTGTTATCACAACGTTTCGGCCGTTGCATTCTCCAGGCTTCTCCAGCTGCTTTGACTTCGTGCCTTCTAATATTCTTAATATTAATTATCATGTTGCAACCATATTCAACATTTAGAAAAGGAGGACAGATTAAACTGTGTGATGATAACGTCAGTTTTTGGCCCTGTAATATCATTCACAGTAAACTTACATACTGGCACGCAACCGAGCCATGTGAAGGGGACTAGGGACTAACGGCGAGATCTGGCCATGATGTTGCATGACAGCGGCCCAACGGTTGATGATGATGATCTGGCCATGATGTTGATGATGCTGCTGCTGATGATGATGTTGATGTTGATGATGATGTTGATGATGATGTTGATGTAGATGATGATGTTGATGATGATGATAATGTTGATGTTGATGAAGATGATGATGATGTTGATGATGTTGATGATGATGTTGATGATGATGATGATGTTGATGATGTTGATGTTGATGATGATGATGATGTTGATGATGATGTTGATGATGATGATGATGATGATGATAATGTTGATGATGATGTTGATGTTGATGATGATGTTGATAATGATGATGTTGTTGTTGATGATAATGATGATGATGATGCAACTGAAGTAAAAGGAGGTATACTTATTTTTAAAAAAAAGCCAAGGAAAATTCCTTATTCTGAAAATGATGATATGAATTTATAAGAATGCAAATTCTTTCTTTTTAAAAAAAAAGAAAAGAAAAAAACTTGTTAAAGACAATTTTGCATATATTTCAAAGCTGTGGCCAATTTCTGAACATTACCTTTCAAAAAAGGAGCAAAAAATAAACAGTCACTTCGATCTTTCAGCGGGAGAATAATGGCGCGAAAATTTCTAATTCGTCTTATCGTTGTAACTGCTTGAAACTCCGTAACAGAAAGGAAAGAAATAAAACATTAAAACCTATAAAACCTGGAAAAGAAAATGAAAGAAAAATTTTATGAAATACAAAGAGACGTGAAAGAACTCATTTCAATTTTATGAACATAGATTTTCTGGTGACTTAACGGCGACATTTAAAATGACATTGAATAAATATTTTTATCTGGTTTCCCCACACCTCACATATTTTTACTGGAATCAATGCAGACGAGAAAGACGACATTTTATGAAAATGAAAACGAGTATAATAAAAGATTATTATTATTATTATTATTATGAGCAGCAGCAATTTATCTTACGCTGATGAAAAAATTTTGAGCAATTCTTTTTATAAAAAGAAACGAAAAGCGAATAAGAGAATGTAAGCAAAAGAAAGAAAGCGATCGGTGGCAAAAGCAAAGACACGCATGAAAGAAAGAAAATGGCGAAGAGATAAAGTTAAAATAAAAGGAGAGTACAGAAGAAAATACAAACTGCCAGTTAGAAACAAGGAACAAAAGCATGAAAAATAAAGAAACACCAAGCAAAGAAGGAAAAATAAATGAGCAAAGAAACAGCAAAAAACAACAGGAAACAACAAAACAAAGCAAGGAACCAAGAATCATAAAAAACAGAAGCAAAGAAGGGAGGAAGAATAAGACAAAAACAGAAAAAAACAAAAACACGAAGCAAAAAAAAAAAAAGAAACGGAAGAAAAAAAGCAAAACTTGAGGAAAACCTAGCAAAGAAAAAAAGCAAAAAAAGAAACAAGATGCAAAGAAGAATATAAAAAAGAAATAAACAAGCAAATAAGAGGGTAAAACAAAGAAAGAAAGAGAGAGAAATGAAACAAAAAACAATGAAGAGTAAATAAACTAGCCAAGAATAAGGGAGAAAAATAAAACAAGAAGCAAACATTGGAAAATGAGCAAGCAAAGAGAAAAAAAGAATAAAAAAGTAACGTTTGAAAAAAAGCAAACGAAGGAACAGAGACAAAAAGGAAGCGAAGACTTGCAGAAAGACGAGCAAAGAAACAGAAAAGATGACACAACAAGCAAAGGATTGAATAAAAACAAATTAAAAAAAAAAAAAAGCAAAAATAATGAAAAAAAATTTTAAAAAAACATAAAAAAGAAACAAGAAACAGAGGCAGGTATAATAAACAAGCAAAGAAACAGAAAAAAGAAACAAAAAGGAAAGAAGGATTAAACAAGAAAAGTAACAGAAAAAGAAATAAAAGGAAAGAAATAAAAACAAGCAAAGAAACAGAAAAAGGAACAAAAAGCAAAGAAGGAATAAAAACGGACAAAGAAGCAGAAGAAAGAAATAAAGAGAGAAAAGAAAAAAATAATGAATTAATAAAACAAGTAAAGAAACGAAAAGAAACAAAAAGCAAAGAATTAATAAAACAAGCAAAGAAACAGAAAAAGAAACAAAAAGCAAAGAATTAATAAAACAAGCAAAGAAACAAAAAGAAACAAAAAGCAAAGAATTAATAAAACAAGCAAAGAAACACAAACAAAAGGAAAGAATTAATAAAACATGAATAAAAAAAAAAACAAAAGCAAAGAAAAGAAAACAAGAAAAGAAGCAAAAAAAAAAAAAAAGCAAAAGAATAAAACGGAAGCGAAAAAGAAATAAAGAGAGAAAAGAAAAAAATAATGAATTAATAAAACAAGTAAAAAAAGATAAAAAAATAAAACAAGTAAAGAAACAGAAAAAGAAACAAAAAGCAAAGAATTAATAAAACAAGCAAAGAAACAAAAAAAAAGAAACAGAAAAATAAAAAAAAAAAAAGAAACAAAAGTAAAAGAAATAAAACAAGCAAAGAAACAGAAAAAGAAACAAAAAGCAAAGAATTAATAAAACAAAAAGAAAAAAAAACGAAAAAAAAGAAAAAGAAAATAAAACAAGAAAAAGAAACAGTAAAAGGAACAAAAAGCAAAGAAGGAATAAAAACGGACAAAGAAGCAGAAGAAAGAAAAAAGAAGAAAAGAATTAAAAGAAACAAAAAGAAAAAAAAAGAAAGAATTAAAAAAACAAGCAAAAAACAGGAAAAGAAATAAAAAAAAGAAAGAAAAATAAAACAAGCAAAGAAACAGAAAAAGAAACAAAAAGCAAAGAATTAATAAAACAAGCAAAGAAACAGAAAACGAAACAAAAAGCAAAGAATTAATAAAACAAGCAAAGAAACAGAAAAAGAAACAAAAAGCAAAGAATTAATAAAACAAAACAAAAAAGAAACAAAAAAAAGCAAAGAAAATAAAAAAATACAAAGAAGCAGAAAAAGAAAAAAAGAAAAAAAGAAAAATAAAAAATTAATAAAACAAGTAAAGAAAACAAAACAAAAAGAAAAAAAAAAAAAGCAAAAAACAGAAAAGAAACAAAAAAAAGAATTAAAAAAACAAAAAAAAATTAAAACAAAAAAAAGAAACAAAAAAAGAAACAAAAAGAAAAGAATTAATAAAACAAAAAGAAACAAAAACGAAACAAAAGAAAATAAAACATGCAAAGAAAAAAGAAACAAAATTAATAAAAACAAGCAAAGAAAAAAAAGAAACAAAAGCAAAGAATTAATAAAACAAGCAAAAAGAAACAAAAAGCAGAAAAAATAAAACAAGCAAACAAAAAGCAAAAGAAAGAAGGAATAAAACAAGCAAAAGAAGAAGAAAAAAAAAAAGAGAAAAAAAAAAATAATGAATTAATAAAAAAAAAAGAAACAAAAGCAAAGAAACAAGAAAAAAACAGAAAAAGAAAAAAAAGCAAAGAATTAATAAAACAAAAGAAGCAAAGAAACAAATAAAGAAAAAAGAAAAAATAATGAATTAAAAAAAAAAAAGAAACAGAAACGAAACAAAAAAAAAAATTAAAAAACAAGCAAAGAAGCAAAAAGAAAAAAAAAAGCAAAAAGAATTAATAAAAAAAAAAAGAAAACATAAAAAGAAACAAAAAGCAAAGAATTAATAAAACAAGCACGAAACAGAAAAAGAAACAAAAAAGAGGAATAAAAACAAACCAAGAAACAGAAATAAAAAATAAAAAAACAAAGAAGGAATAAAACAAGCAAAGAAAAAAAAAGATGGAAAGAAAAACAGACAAAGAAATCGAGAAAAAGGGAAGGAAATGGACGACGAAGAACTGGAATTATCTCGTCTCGACCAAGAATCGTTTCTAAAATAAATTCTGGGGGTAAAAGATTTATTTTTACACTGGTCATAAAAAGGGGGGCAGCTTTCAGTTTTTGTTAAGTAATAAACTGATCGTACTCTCTAGAACTGTTACATTCCTTATTGTGCTTACCAAGGGACCAGACCGTAAACAATTCTAATGTTTGGGCATGCAGTCTGATTTTCAGAAAATGGCGCGACCAAAGAACTTTCCAGTACCTTCCTCGTATGAGACCATTTTTTCTTAGTAAAAGTGAGAGAAAGAAGCAAAAGGAATGTAAAGATAAAATAAAAAATGTAGATAAAGAAAAAGGGTTAGGAATGAGAAAAATTTTTTTTTTATAAACAGGAGGAAGATGAATGAAAGTTTTTGACATAATAAAATGAGCAATTGGCTCGTTAGAAAGGTGGATGGAGAGAGAAAATAAGTTTTTATTGACAGAGACTAAAACCGATATTTTTGCTGTAAAGTCTCTCTATCTATCTATCTATCTATCTATCTATCTATCTATCTAAATCTGAATATATCTATTTGTCTATCTATCTATTCATATATATTTATTTATCTATCTCAGTCTGTTCAAATTTATCTATCTATCTATTTAAATCTGCATATGTCTGTCTGTCTGTCTGTCTGTCTATCTATCTATCTATCTATCTATCTATCTCTACATATATATCTATTTATTTATCTCAGTCTGTTCAAATCTATCTATCTCAGTCTGTTCAAATCTATCTATCTGTCTATTTAAATCTGCATATGTCTGTCTATCTATCTATCTCTATCTATCTATCTACATATCTATCCATCTATTGCTACATATATATTTATTTATGTTTATATATATCTATTTGTCTGTTCAAATCTATCTATCTCAGTCTGTTCAAATCTATCTATCTATCTATCTATCTATCTATCTATCTATCTATCTATCTCAGTCTGTTCAAATCTATCTATCTATCTATCTATCTATCTATCTCAGTCTGTTCAAATCTATCTATCTATCTATCTATCTATCTATCTATCTATCTATTTAAATCTGCATATGTCTGCCTGTCTGTCTATCTATCTACCTACCTACCTATCTATCTATCTCTACATATATATCTATTTATCTATCTTAGTCTGTTCAAATCTATCTCAGTCTGTTCAAATCTATCTATCTATCTATCTATCTATCTATCTATCTATCTATCTATCTATCTATCTATCTATCTATCTGTCAGGCTCTTCATATCCATATATCTATCTATATTTGTAAAAAATTTTGAATGAAAGAAAGAAAGGGAGAAGGAAGAAGCGAATGAACGAAAAACCTTTAAGTTTCTAGACGAATTAAATGAATGAAGACGAATAAAATGTAAAAATAAGAAAAAAACGTAAATATGAAAAAAAGAAAATACCAAAGAAAGAAAGAAATGAATGAATGGATGAAAGATAGAAAGCTTGAACCAAAAATCTTAAAGAAGAATTAAAAAAAAATGGAATTGAATAAAATGTAAAACTAATAAAAAGTGTAAATAAAAAATGACGAAAGAAATAAAGGGAAAAACGAAAATAAAAGTGAAAGAAAAGACTTTTCAGTGTGTAATTACTTCGGAAAGCTGTTGATTGGATCCGAGCATTATCGTAATCGGCATGATTTTGCATCCTCATTATCAGCATCATAGTCTATTGGAGCCATTTCAATGGCGGCGAAGATCAGGCCGCCATTTTGTTGCAGGTGTTTGCGCCTAAGGCCCTAATGGCGTCAACTCATTCAATGATTCTTTCGCCAGAAGACAAAAAGAAATCTAAAAAGAATATAAGAATATAAATTATTATGATAGCATTCATTTGAGGTTTGATGACTTTTATTATTATTTTTTTTTATATATATTTCCTTTAAAAATACTTTTTTTTAAGACATGGCTGATTAGTAAAAAAATTTTTTCGGAAGGGTGGAAAGGAAAATAGCGAAAAAAGAAAATGAAGAAAAATGACGACGTGAGACATTTATATTTAATCTGTTCTTTGAATTTTTAAATCATTATTATAAGTGATTTCTTAATATGCATTACATTATATTTTTTTTATTCATATTGCACATAAAATACATATTTCTGTTCTGGGATCAAGTGACAACAAGATTTCTGATTAATCCCAAACTTTTCCACCAGCAGTACCGCCTGACTTACATTTGAGAACTTCCGCACTCTTTCTAATATTCTTTCAAGAGAAACTAAGCACTACTCAATGTCTACAAATAAATGCAGACATTGAGTAGAGATTAGAGGCTTTATTCGAGATCAAGTGACAGCAAGTCTTCTCATTAATTAAGCACTTTTCTCAGTATAAAACGCCACTAGCAGAATCATGTGGCTTAATTTGAGATCAAGTGACAGCAAGTTTTTTGTCATAACTTTCGCACCCTACGCTGTATTCTTTCTTAGAAGACATTGTGTTTCCACATGCGTAGAGAGTGGTGACTTTTTTCGAGACCAAGTGACAGCAAGTTTTCTCATTAAATCAGCTCTCATTTCGGCATTCTTTCTTATTTGTAGACATTGTGTACCCAAAATGAGTACAGATGGGTGACTATCTTTCGAGACCAAGTGACAGCAAGTCTTGTCCCTACTTCAGCTCTCTCTTCGCTATTGTTTCTTATTTGTAGACTTTGTGATCCCACATGAGTACAGATGTGTGAATTTCCTTCGAGATCAAGTGACAGTAAGTCTTCTCTTTACTTAAGCTATCTCTTCGCTATTGTTTCTTATTTGTAGACATTGTGTACCCAAAATGAGTAAAGATGGGTGACTATCTTTCGAGACCAAGTGACAGCAAGTCTTCTCTTTACTTCACCTCTCTCTTCGCAATTCTTTCTCATTTGTAGAATTTGTGTTCCCACCTGAGTATAGATGGGTGACTTTCCTTCGAGATCAAGTGGCAGCAATTCTTGTAGCCACTTTGCACGTTTATTATGAATATAGCGGTCTACAGATGAGAGGTTTCCACTCTTTAGACTGTGGAGAAACGTGTTGTAGGGTAGAAAATAATTGATCACCCACACACCTGCGTCAACGCTGTGAATTATTTTATTTTTTTCGGTTTTTCTATAAGTTTTGTTATATTCTATACTAAGGGAATAAATACTTAACACCAGGTGGATAATAGAAGAAAGGTTTATTGTAAAAAATGAGTAAAGATGGTACAGTTATACTATCTTCAATCTAGTAGTGAGTGCCAATAATTGGAAGGTCGGACTTTTTTACTTCTGTCTCTCTTCTTAATTCTTTCAGCCTCCCCATTTGTGGCACAAGGCCGAATTTATCGTGGGTTCTCCGAGCCTGTAGGTTCGGCCAAAAATAGATTAGAACCCGCATAAGCGGGTTAAGGGTCTGTCTCATCCCCGACGAAACAAGCCCTTCGGCAAAGCCTCGTTCGGGTTCCTCTAAGGCAAAGAGTGAGACAGTGAAGAACAGAAGAGAGTACTATTCTCGTGCTCACTCTCCCCCCCCCCAGTCTGTCGTAGACAGTTGGCGTCATAAGTACATAATACCTATAGTGTAATCATTCATAGGGGTGGCTGGTTTTTCGATTACACCAACTTTAAATAGTTATAATTTTTGTCAATGTCTTAAATGGCCAAACTACACAAAAATAGTTTTATGTACCACAACTGGTGATTATTTGAGGCATTGATGTTTACTAAAGTCTTTGTTGATATACCTCCTGAAAAAGTAGAGATAATATTGCATTGTCGAAAATCTGTGTTGTTCTACAATGGCGAAGCATGTCTTAAGACACGGTCTGGATACTCTGTGATAAGCAGGCATTTCTAGCCGTAAATGACCATGAGGATATCTTCCCAAATGATCCTACAGTTCATCTAATCAACCATTGAAAATGACCTCTAATCAGTGGTTATAAATGTGATAATCATTCAATTCTGATTGTTTGCTCTACGGTCACGTCTTTGTATGGCATTATCCAAATAATTTACTTCCGTCAAAGCTCTTTAGATATGCTGTTTTGAATTTTTTGTAATATGCCTTTTGTTACATATAAAAAATAATCCCATTATAATTTGAATTAGTATGCAAAAAAATGTGATATGTAAAAGCAAAATAAAAACAAAAGGTAAATGAGCAAATGGTCAGAGATTTGAATTCGCAATATGAACATTAGGAAAAAAAAACATCTGTTCATATGTTTGCCTCAAAGTTACATATTCTATCAATTTTCTTTGTTGCTTGTGTAGAATGTGCACAAGTGATTTTGTTTCTATTATTTGTGATAGTTTTTGTTTTTTAAATCTGTCGGGCCAATTCCTAAGAATGATGATCCTCAATGTCAACAACATTTTTGTCTCAGAATTACGTTTTATATCCATTTTATTTGTTGTCTGTGATGAATGTGCTAAAGAGATTTTGTTTCTATTGTCTGTGATAGTTATTTGTTTTTTACATCTGTTGGGCCAATTCCTAAGAATGATGGTCCTCAATGACACCTACATTTTAGTCTCAGAATTACATATTCTATTTATTTTATTTGTTGTTTGTATTGAATGTGCTAAAGAGAATTTGTTTCTTTTGCCTGTGATAGTTCTTTGTTTTGAGAATCTGCCAAGCCAATTCCTAAGAAGGATGGTACTCTCTTATACCTTCAGGTTGTTCTCAGGGTTACATATTCTCTTTAAATATTTATTGCTTTTTGAAAGTGTCAATGATTTTCTTCAAATTTTTGTGATAGTTCTTTGTTTTTTAAATCTGTCACAAAAAACGATGGTTTATGTACCACAACTTTTTTGTGATTATTTTTGATTTGGCATTGATTGTTTAACAGATTTATTTTCTTTGTCTTGATAGTTCTTTGTTTTGAGAAAAGTAGAGGATAATATTGCATTTTGTCTCAAAATCTGTTCTCTCTATTTTATTTTCTTGCAATGGCGAAGCATTTTCTTAAACATTTGTCTGGATTCTTTGTTTTTTAAATCTGTCAGGCCAATGACCAAGAAGATATTTCCTCAATGACACCTACATTTTTTGTCTCATCATATATTCTATCCATTTTATTTGTTCCTTGTGTTGATTGAAAATTTTGTTTCTAATCTGTGTAGTTATAAATTTTGAGAATCATTCAATTCTAATTGTTTGTCTCTTTGGTCATATGTCTTTTTATTTCAATGTCATTTTAAATAATTTACTTCCGTCAAAGCTCTTTTAGATATGCTGTTTTTCCAATTTTTTTTTTGAATATGCCTTTTGTTACATATAAAAAATAATCCCATTAAAACACGTAATTTGAATTAGTATTCAAAAAAAAAAAAATGTGATATGTAAAAGAGCAAAATAAAAAAAATAAAAGGTAAATGAAACAAATGGTCAGAGATTTGAATTCGTAAATTTATGAACATTATATAAAAAAAACATCTGTTCATATGTTTGCCTCAAAGTTATCATATTCTATCAATTTTCTTTTGTTGCTTGTGTAGAAAAGTCTCGTGATTTTGTTTCTATTATTTGTGATAGTTTTTTTTTTTAAATCTGTCGGGCCAATTCCTAAGAATGATGATCCTCAATGTCAACAACATTTTTGTCTCAGAATTACGTTTATATCCATTTTATTTGTTGTCTGTGATGAATGTGCTAAAGAGATTTTGTTTCTATTGTCTGTGATAGTTATTTGTTTTTTTTGCATCTGTTGGGCCAATTCCTAAGAATGATGGTCCTCAATGACACCTTCTTTTTTTAGTCTCAGAATTACATATTCTATTTATTTGTTTTGTTGTGTTGAAAAGAATGTGCTAAAGAGATGTTGTTTCTTTTATGTGTGATAGTTCTTTGTTTTGAGATTCTGTCAAGCCAATTCCTAAGAAGGATGGTACTCTCTTATACCTTCAGGTTTGTTCTCAGGGTTACATATTCTCTCTTTTATTTGTTGCTTGTGTTGAAAAGTCTCAAGTGTTTTCTTCAATTATTTGTGATAGTTCTTTGTTTTTTTAAATCTGTCGGGCCAATTCCTAAGAACGATGGTCCTCAATGACACCTACATTTTTGTCTCAGAATTATATATTCTAATCATTTGATTTGTTGCTTGTGTTGATTGTGCCCAACAGATTTATTTTCTATTGTCTGTGATAGTTCTTTGTTTTGAGAATCTGTCAAGCCAATTCCCAAGAAGGAGGGTCCTCGCTTATATCTTCATGTTTGTCTCAGGGTTACATATTCTCTCTATTTTATTTTCTTGCTTGTGTTGAAAGTGCTCAAGTGATTTTCTTCAATTATTTGTGATAG